TTATATCTTTTGTGTTTTCTATCGTAGTGTAGCGCCCGCCTTTCGGTATGAAATGGGGCGCGAGAACGCAATGGTACGAGTCCTACGTCTAACAATCCAATCCATTTATTCAGCAACAATGTTGTGACGAAGGCTTACAAATCATCCGGGTTCAGGACTGTCAAAGACTGTAATGAACCATACTCATATGTGGCTTCGGGTGTAGTGGCTTCGGGTGAAGCTAAAACTAAACTAGGTAGCGAAGCTACAAAAACACCAGTTGGCGTTTCAAAACGTTTTCCTTTGCACGAGAAGTACACTAAAGGTCCCGTATCTAAACTAAAGTATGACGGGATGCGTCACGCAATCAAAACGACTGAGAAGGCGTTACACGTAGTGATCTACTGTTTTCAGGTTGCCTTCAATTTAAAGGTAATTTTTTACGTGGCCAGAAACCCGTGACATAATTTCTTTAAGTTTCTGAATATATCTCGACAAGTCCTTCTTATGTCCAGGATTGAACGCAAGTATTGTTCAATTAGTACTTCATATTTGGCAGGGTTATTTGACGTTTTCATATTACTTCATATTTAAAAGAATTTTATATGGTTTGCTTACTTTTTACCAATGAGGACACTTTGTGATGATTATCGTAAGGAATTTGAATCTCGTTTGCGTTCAGTCCTGGACATATCTGACACGTCTGCATCTCAGTGCTGTCATAAGTATATTTTACCGCATTCCAGTTAAAGGTCCGAGCGTAGGAAAGAACTTGAAGTAGGAACCTCAGCTGCGTCTTAACTCAGTTGTGGGGAAAATTAACTCCAAACCAACGCGCTTCGTTGATGTTATTCATTTAATAATATATAGATTGGGCCAAGTCTAAAAGCGGAGCTCCTGATTGCAATAATTAACCATAAAGGAAAAAGAGGATTTGTTTTCTTGGATCGGAAATTCAAAACAATGTCAATTGTGAGCATGTAATTGTTCAGCGTGTGGTTTCGCTTTTTTTTCAATTAAATTTCTACAAACTATACCCAATAAGCGTACCCCTGATTGTAGACATTTCCTACGAAATATATCAGGGACTTTCCAAGAGACGATTGTGCAAGGAATACGTCGGGAAAGAAGTCAACAACGCGCCAGGGGTTGGATTGCGCTGAAACTTTGCCTTTGCACATACTCGATCCTTCTTCCCCAGAGTAATAACCTCACTTGAGCCTGTGATCCAATCGAGGTACCTTATCTACAGTAAGCAATCTTGGTTCCGCTCCCATCATTCAAATGACCATGCAGTATTAAGTATTATTGATAATGAACAAAAGGCAACTGAAGACCGTGAATATTCTTGTGGAGTATTCTTGGATTTCAGTAAAGCCTTTGATACTGTGAACTATGAGATACTACTTACTAAACTTGAGTTCTATGGCATACGCGGTATTGTTAAATATTGGTTTACTTCGAATCTGAATAATAGAAAACAATTTGTATCTCTTGGTAATACTTACTCTGTTAAGGAAACTGTTTGCTTTGGTGTTCCCCAGGGCTCAGTACTGGGACCCCTGCTTTTCTTAATTTATATAAACGATTTTCATAACTGCTCAAAGGTATTAGATTTCCCACTTTTTGCTGATGATGCAAACCTATTCTATAAACATAATAA